CAGGGTGAGGAATCCATGCCAGACATTTCTCCCGAGAAGGATGATGAAAGTGAACTTCACGATCAAGGCATCTGGGGGAAATGCAAGACTGTTCCGGATCCTGAGTACTACCAGGCCGCGAAGGATGCAGAGGACCAGAATGAGAACGCGTTCGACAAAATGGGCAAGGCAAAGGAAAAGATCGAGCTCGTTGATCTCGAAGAGTTCAAACATTTCCTTAATCAGCTCACCGAAATCGAACGACAAAGCCCTATGCGGATGCTCTGCAAGCAGCTGCATGGATATGGCTATTCAGGCTTGTATCATACAGGACTTCGTGATCCTGATTACGAGCCCGTTCTCGCCTACAAGGTGCAGCATATGAGTTGGAGGGTAAATGTTCCGAACCACAAGGGACAGAAATACTCTCTCTCTATGGTGGATCTATTCGACCAACTCAACAAGATGGATCCCATCTATGAGCGTCGTCCCGACAAAAAGGACGTTGTTTTTCGTTCTGGGGACGTTCGTAGCACCTTGGACGACAAGCTCATGGGCAAGGCCTCTGACATCCGAGAATCAGCACTGGATGTTATGGAAGCACTTCTTGATAAGCTGAAGTCCCTGGATGCAAGCGGCAATCCGGCAACTCGAGAAGAACTTTTGAATGCTATGCTTCACTACTTCTTGAGCACCGGAGTCGATGAAGAGGAGATCGGGGACCTCTCTCTTGAGAAGACGCCGAATCCTTATATTCATCGTTTTGGTCTGGCAGAGGACTCCAATGTCCCTATCTTCACCAGCAAGACCAAGTATGCCGCGCTCATCCTCAATCTCGGCAACATGAGCAGGGGAAGAAAGCGTACCGCTCCTAGCTCCGTTGCTAATCACATTGACTGGGACGATGCTACACCATCTAAAGGAGCCTTGATAAAATCGATTGCACAGTCGAAGACGCATTTGTTCATGCTCTGCGAAGCGGCTAAGATCGATGACTCCGAAGAGGCCTTCCTCAAGTCACGCGGTTGGCAATTCCTTCGTAACGAGTCCAAGGACCTGATGGTGGGAAGTCGTACAAATGGTGTCGGATCTTCGATCACCCGTCTTGCCGGCTCCACTCTCAGTGGATATGCCCACGAGTCCCTTCCAATAACCTATATGGTCGCGGAAATCGTGTATGGCATGACGTTACCGACCGGTCTCCAGGGCAGTCGTGGTGATGTTCCAGATGAGTCACTGACCAAGGTCTTGGAGCGAGCTGGATCCGACCGGCTGAGAGTTTGTGTCTTCCACCTCCACAACGACGCGGCGGCAGACAAGGTGGCGTTGGCTCATGAAGTGTTGGGCAACATGTTCATCGACTGCTTGCACTACCAAGTCGACCTCATCGGTGGCGACGCCAACATGGCCCTCTACCGGGCCACCGGCAGAAAGCAGGAGTCGATGGATATTCGTGGCGGGATGTACCAAAGCCTTCTCGACTACTTCTTGGAGGCATGGTCAGAAAGCCCAAAGTGCCCACACTTCTGTTCGCCTCGTGCGAGACATGTGTCAGCAAACGCCATGTGGCTTCTGAAACAGTATGAGGACACGCTGGGAATGCCATACAAGGAAGCTAAGCAACCAGACTGGAATACTTTTCCTGGTTTGGATCCTGTTATGGCTACAGTCATGGAATGGGGACACAGCATGTCGGACGATCAATGGGCGGAGTTTCCGTCTTCAAAGACTGAGTTCGACATCCATGTCTCTGAGTGGCTGTTAAACTCCACCAGCGCCGCGTACCTTCTCAACGATCGGGACTATGACGCTCACACTCCGCTCCTCATCGAGGTTCACGCGAACCAGTACTCTGGAGGCAGGATGAGAGCGCTCAACCGCAATCCCGACACCGTGAAGGAAGCCGCGGACAGAAGAAAAGAGAGACAGAAGCTGAACAAGGCGCGTGGTTCTGGTTCTACTGGTCCTGCAGCCGCACCACAGGGAGCAAGCTCTTCTCAGGGAGAGGCAGCTTCTGGTGCTAAAGCTTCTGGTTCTCAACGTCCTCAAGAACCCGCACAACCTCCTGGTGGCAAAGAAGACGGCAAGGAGGCAAGTCCTCCAAAGGAAAAGGCAAGGACGCTGACAAGGGCAAGTCCAAGGGCAAGTCCAAGGACAAGTCCAAAGGCAAAGCCAAGGGCAAAAACTGACTAGGTTCGGACCTGGGCGAGGATGAAGACGTTGACGTTCCTGACGAAGACGTTGGTCCTGGCCCAGCATCCTGGAGTCGTCCTGGCAGTGGTGAGTTATTTCCATTTCGTTTCCAACTCCATTACTGGCGCTTGGAGAGATGGTACTACCCTCACCTCCGCATTCCTCATCCTGACGACAGTCCTTATGTTGTTCGTCAATTGAGGCAGTACAACCAAAGGATCAATCAACAAGGTCCGTTGGAAGAAGTTGAGTGAGCGTTTCACGGAATGCTTCTTTCAGAAGAAGGTATCCATTTTGAGCATTCGCCGCTTCTAAGGAAGATGCTTTTCTCAGGAAAAGGGACTTCCTAAAGACCTTGTCAGGAAAGAAGATACTTATCTCAGGATAAGATACTTCCAATGCCCTTATATCATTTGCCTTGCCGCAAGATGTCATGCTGGCATCAAGTAGAGCCAAGCTTTACACCTTTATGTTACAGTATGCTTTCCGCCTGGAGAGGGAACTGAAACACAAGTGGGCAACTTTCAAGCAAAAGTTTTCAGTTGAAGATCCGTTTGCGTTTCGTGCGTGTTCTGCTCTTTTCATTGAAGCTGTCTTCAGGCTAGAGATGTATAGATTCTCTTCAAGTCGCAGATGTAGCTCAATACTCCGCTAATTCGACCAAGAGCAATAACAGGCTTGTAGATTGCCGACTCCACGGCCATGCAGCTCTACGTGTTTTAAATTTGTGCCTGGTTGAAACACTGAATGTTACACATCCAGGTGCCTGTCTGTTTCACGTATCACTTGCATGTATCCATGCCTGTTGCTCAAGGTTCTAGTGCAGTGGACTACAGCTGTGCGCCTGTAGCAAAAGAGACACCTGAGTGCCTGTGTTCCTGTACGCCTAGCGAGGGGATACACGTCCAGGTTACATCTCATGGGGGGGGGGGCTGATGACGTCCATGCGAATGCGGCTTGTGTCTTCTGTTTCTTTGGTTGCGTTACTTCTCACACGCTTCCAGTTGCTCTGTCGACCCGTGCTTGCCGTTTCTTGTTGCTTCACTTTGGAAACGTCCACCATGAAAAAACCTGATGTTTTTCAAGCTTTCCAGACAAAAACTTCCAAAATGAGCCTGAAAATCAACATAAATCAAACACGAAAAACATGGTGTTTGCGACACTTCCGCGAAAACCAGGCCAAAAACACAAGACAAAGAACTATAGAAATTTGAAACTCCGATACATCGTCTGGTTGACGAATACCACACAAAACTCTGGGTTTTCTACTTTTTGACCGAAAGTCCTGCCAAACATAAACGACACACCCCGGGCGGCGGCAGACGGACCGCCTTCCTTGTTGTTATTGTTGGCGCTGGTTGGCGGTGACGGTTGCGGCGTGTTGTTGTGGTCGTGGTTGTTGTTGTTGCTGCTCCTGTTGTTGTTGATGCTCTTGTCTTGTTGTTAGGAGTATTACTGTTGCTCGTTGTTGGTTGTTTGTTGCTCCCGTTGCCTCTTGCAGGAAGTACTTCTTCTTATTATTATTCTTTGTTGTTGTCGTTGTTGTTTGCTCTTGTCGTTGCTCTTATTGCCGTTCGTGCTGTTGCGCGGTGGTTGCGCGGTCGTGACATCGTTCCTCTTCCACTAGTTACTGGTTACTAGTCGTCTTTAACATGTCGCCTGCCATCGTGATCTGGATGATCTGACAACAGTGTCGATTGCCGGCCTTCCTCCCGCAAGACGCGATGTTCTCCAAGCATCTGGAGATCGCAAAGGCAGGTGCGGCTGCTGAGCGGGCAAGCTCTTCCGGCGAGCGACGTGTGCAGTTGAAAGTGGGAGGGTTCAGCTGCCCCGACGTGCACAAAAGTGACGTCTCCGATGCTGTATAACCTATAGCACAGCGGGCCGTGCAGCGAGCTCCATCTGGTACATTTCTCTGCGCAAACTCGAAACAGGGGCCAGTTGGCGAAGACCACAAGACTCTCGGAGCTGGGCAGTCGCGGCAATCACTCAGAACCAACATATACCAAGCAAGTTGGCGCATGGTTCATGAGCTGCTGGGCAGTGACACAGCATGTCTGGGCTTGATCCTGACATCTCGCAGCCTTGTCTCGTCATTGAGGCTCACTGGCAGCAGGCCCACCAAGAATTTCCGCACATTACATCTGGCGATGGCTGGCACAAGGCCATTTCAAGCTTCATTTTCCACGACATGTTCTGTGTGGCTTCCATGGTTCGGAAGCCGTCACTTGCAAACAGCCCTGTGAAACACTTTGCCTTCCACGAGCAACTACACACCCGATGAAACCATGATTGGTTTCCTCTGCGGGCTTCGGCACAGGGCCACTTAGATGCTGCCTGCGCAAGCCACCAGCTTTCCAACAAGGCTGCCTTGTGGCTGATACCGTCACAGCTCAGCCAAATCATGATGAAGGGTCTGTGATTGCACCTCTGCGTTTGCACGGCACTGATCCGCTTAAAACCTACCTATCTGCTACAGGGATACAGGCTAAAGGCAAGTTGCCCAGTGGATCGCTATGAGTCGTAGTCGTATGTACCCCATACCAGTACATTTTAGCAGCCAACTATAAATTTTCACCATTCTTAGGACTTGAAAAGTATCAGCAATCCAGTCCAAGCCACAGGGAGTTGGTTTGGCCAGGAGCCTTTCTCCATGGCAATCTGAAGCTTGTTGTACCCGTCTCCTCGGCGTCAGACGTGCCGTTAGACTTGGTTGGAGTGCTTTCATCATTTTCTTGTAGGCTGCGATTCCTGGCCCTTTGGTCTCTCGCATCAATTGTCCTTTCTTGAATGGGTCCCTCGCTCCCTGTCTCCCACTCGCCCTCTTTCTACGCAGCCTTCCGACAAATGCAGGATGCAGCCGCGAATCTCCAAACGTCGATGTCGAAGATGTTGACTTGGAGCCCACCTTCACTGTAGCTATCCGTCTGAAACGGACGGGATTCTTTTTGGTATGCTGGCTGGCGGCTACGCACAAAAACCATTGTGCTACGGCAGGGTTGGTCGGCCTACGATGGCCGCTGCTACAAGCGCCAGCAACCCTGCCAAAAAGCGCCGATACATTCCGCACAACATTGCCCTGCTGGTGCTCAAACCAATACATGCGGAAAGATGCCTGCGATGAAAATCAGCAGCATGCAGTTCAACCCCAGCAAAGCCCAGGTGTCGCCTTCGCCTGTCCTGAATGCAGAAGGTGCTTGCTGAATCAGCCTGTAAAGCCACAGCTGGTCTCCGCCACGGCACAGCTGCATCCATTCCTTTATGGCCATTTTCGATTCTGGCGATAGATTTGCCACTCCCTGCCGGAACTTGGCCTGGTCAACGTTGCTCGCCTACAGATGCCATTGACCGTAGTCAGCAGCGCCTCTTCTTCCGGCTTTAATTTCCCTTGTCGAAGCCTCAAATCGAGCGGCCTGTGCTCCAAGAAGCTGCGAGCACTGCATCAGCACTTGCTGACGACAGGCCCCGCCTGTCCTCTGCCGGTCCCTTCGGTCCCTCATCAACTCAGAATCGGGTCTGTATGACACTTCGGGCCGGCATGACCAAGAGGGCTCCTCCGCAGCTGACTTGTCCTGCTCCGTGCCTCAGGAAGCGTGACTGCAGGGCGCTCTTGCCACCAGAGGCTGACCAATGAGTTTCTCCGGCCTTCGGTCGCTTGCACGGAAGGCTCTGTCTCCTCCTTGCCAAAGCAAAGAATGACATGCGGTGAAACACGAAACTATGCGGGCTACCCGCGGCCTCTCGGGCTTCTTTGTCCCAGGAGGTCGGTTGTGATGAAGCACCACTCAGAACAAACACCTCGGGTTCAAGCCTCCACTACAAGGTATAGATCGGACGAACTGCCAACATGCAAGCGAGGAGCCACTGCTGCCGCAACACCCACCTGGCTGGATGCAACCCTTATGATGCTTTGGGGTAGCGGGTAGCGTTTGCGACATCATCGAAATACCGAGGTGCAGTCAAGCTGCGACTCCGGCTACCTGGGCAGCTCCACAAGGATCTGAAAATCTTTGAGTAGGGGACTTCCCGACACATGACGTCCGAAATCAAACAATCAGAGATGCGTTTCATCTAGGAACCCTTCAAGCAAAGACTACTTTCTGCCAGCGTGCCAGGGCCGGGAAGCCCTCTTCGGGCACACCAAGCATACCTGCGAGTCAAAAATGAAAACTCGCGGCATGTCCTACAAGTAACAGGTGCAGTCCGCGCCTCTTGACTGTCTCGGTAGCGAGAGTGGTGCCGGGCACAACGCTAGTCAATGGTGCGATTCCACTCGTCTGGATATATCCGCTGCGCTTATTATTGATACGACGATAATCAGAGGCAGTGCATGACACCGACATTGCAGCATGGCAGGGTTCCTGTAAAACCTAAGCGCTTGTAAAATCTGCAAGCACACGGTATCACATGATGTATTTGGCAACTGCTCCCGTCTTCCCCCATTTCGGAGCCTTTGTGTGCAGCACATGTGGCAGGGTGGTACAAAGCAAGAAAAAATCGGATGTCGTTATGCCACGCTTCTGGCTGCTGGCACCGGGCGGGGTCCTTTCTTGAAATGCCACCCGGAAGGGCCAGCACCGAATGACGAGGCACGCTCGAAGCGGTCTCGTTTGATTGTGCCGTCTCAACAACTCGAATCATTTCTTTTCCTTTGTCTTTGGCTCTCTTGGCCCGCTCTCTCTTCGTCCATCTCCACAGACCAAGAGGCACAGAGTTCTGTTGTCATCCTCTGGAGGCACAGGATACTCGAGAATCGACAGGCTGGTCCACTAGTTATATAAACATGACGCCACCTCTCCGTACTAAGTCCCTATCTTCTGCGGCCATCTCCCTCAACACCTGCTGCATAGGACGGGCGCGCGAGGGCTCTGAGACATCCCACACTGCTTGCACCATGCGATGCACTAGCAGCTTCTGCTCTCTATTGTTCCAAATTTTCATACGGTGAGTGTTCATGATCCTCTGAAGCATTATCTCGATCGAAGCATTACAGAATCACCTGCTGGAGATCCGATGGCACTGAACTCAGACGAGGGTTGGGCTTACGAACAGCGTGAATCACACGGGGCGCTCAGTGGGACACTTTATTCACGGATGCACGGCACTCCGAGGTCAGGCCAAGAAGCAAGCGATACGCTACGCTTGAGCTTGAAGCTAAATCACGTCTCTCTTCTGTGATTCTTTTGCGAAGTCAAAGGCTACTACACTGTCTGAGAGGCCCGTGGCGCTCCCGGTGAGAGCGGCCTTGTACGGTTCTCTTCCGGCTGAGGAGTGACTGTGGCCGCACATGGTAAAAGGCCATGAGGTTGTGGTTGTTTGCGCATGTTTCATGTTACGATGTTCTCTTCATTCGTAAAATGTTGGCTCTCAAGTGTGCGCGGCTGCAAAGTCGCAGTCAGTTCGTGCAGACAACAGCAGCAGAGGTGCGCGGCAACTGCGATAGCTCGACCGTGCGGCCTGCCACGGCCGCTGGCCTTGTCTTCGGCACAGTGTCGTGCGATTGCTGTGTTTGCAAGTCCGCGCTGCTATGCTTTAGAAGCAGTAGCAGCAGCAGTAGCTGTAGCAGCAGCAGGAGCGGGAGCGGTAGCAGTAGTAGCAGTAGTAGCAGCAGTAGCAGTTGTAGTTGTAGTAGTAGTCGTCGTCGTCGTCGTAGTAGTAGTAGTAGTTTTTTTTGTCACCCACCTAGCACGGCAATGCCAGCTCCGCGGGGCTCTATGAGAGCAACAACGACTGGGAAATGCATTCGGTGAATTCCATAACAACCGGACCAGTACGGGCTTCTTGTCACAACAGCAAAACAACAAGTTAAGGCCACAAACTACAGCAGCCCATGCCGGCCCGCAGACCACTGACTGTACATCCCCCTTCAGTGCGCACTAACTTTTTGTGATGAACACACGAAACACAAGGTAAGGCCACTCAGTACAGCTAGTGCAGACAGGGGTTCACGGCACACGAGCACCCCTACACTACCAGCACAAAACTACGGCGTGGATCAGCCTACCCATCGCCAATTTACTGCAAAGTGACAAGTTACAGGATTGCAATGTCTATTCAGCCTCACAATAACTTGCAAATGTAGTAGTAGTAGTAGTAGTAGTAGTAGTAGTAGTAGTAGTAGTAGTAGTAGTAGTAGTAGTAAATACTGCTTCTTCTCCTGCTACTACCACAACTACCACTGCTACAGTGCTAGTAGTCTCGTACTGAGTCGTAGTGGTAGCAATAATCGAGGCGGGGCTTCGGCGAAGCCAGTGGAGGTTCGGTGAGCTCCCGGCCAAGCGTATGCGGGGTTGCTGCCCCCGCAGGGCCAAAACCCGCCAGAACAGAGGGACTTCAAGAAGGCGAATGCCGTGACACTACAACGACTTTCATGACTTCGAGCCGCTTGAACGCCAAAGCAGCACCGGGACGCACGATTTGCACCCAAAATGGGAGCGGCGGCGCACAAGCGCGATTCATGAACTTCGGACGGGGCGAAGTATGTTGGAATATGTTGGATTTACAGGAACTTGCAACGAATTCGGCACCGTTGGTGGACTAGAGGCCGGCACAGGACATTGGGGGAAAACGCGATTTGGAGTCGATCATGTGCACGGAGCCGAAATGCTGAAATGCCCTGTGCGCAGGCCAGCTGCGCCTCGCACCGTCTCTGACAACATCCTTTGAACCCTGACGTAGAAATGCAAACTCGTGCTACTACACCTTGCGCAGTGCATTCCATCTCTACAGCTGATAGCCTGCAATGACTACTGCAGTACACTTGGGCCAACCTGTGTTGCAAGAAGCGGCGACGGGCTACATGAGATCGAGAGGTGCCATGGCGCGATGTGAAGAGACAGCTGCAGCGGAAACCTTTCTTGCACAAGGAGTGACAGGTCGGAGGACGTATCGTTTCCGATCAACACTTGCTCTGATCCAAAGGAGCTGCCCACAGCCAGAGGCTCGTGCAGTGGACAGCTCTTGGCAAACTCGCAATGGCGAAGCCTGCGTGTTTGCGGACACTAATTTCACAGCTCATGTGCCGTTTGTGCTTGCTGTGCATTCAACCGTCTTCGTGCCAACATCAACGAGCTTGCAAGTAATGGATTGGTCTTAACTTCCCCAGCTTGACAAGCGGGCGAGCTGTGCAAAACCGTTGAAAGCTTCACTTTGAAAGTGAATTCATGAGCAGCCTCAGCAAAGACCACAAAAGGGTTTCCTTTCGTGTACCCACGGCAGCCGACAGATGTGGATCAAGCGCTTCATGAGCTTGAGCTGCGCTGCATGATCGTCTCGATTACATCGTCACTGAGAGAACCGCCCTTCTCGTTGAGAACTTGCCTATTGAGCTCCCGATCCTTGAAGCCCATGTCTGCCAAGGTCTTTAGCATGTCGTCCATGCTCTGCGGGATGCGCTCACCTGGGAAGCGCACTGCATTCGGCGACTTCTGTGTTCGGGTGTCGTTTGAAAAGTATGCACCTGTGACGTTGTTAATCGCGTCAGTCACTCCACCGATGAAGACATCCCACTGCGTCTTCGCCAACGCCGGCTCTTCAACACCGTTCAGAGCACAGCTCTGCAGATGCTTGTAGAAGGTGCTCCAGTCCATCCGAGCTCCTCGGTCTTTCTGGGCATCCCTCCCTGTGAGATCTCTGAAGACACTTGTCGCTGTTTCTAAGCCGTACTTGTTTCCTTGTGGAAAAGTGTTCATCAGATCCGAGGCTGAAAGCAAGTTGTCCCGGTCAGCATCTGCATCTTGGAAAATTTTGAAGATCTTGGGCTCGAACTCGGGCTGGCTCAAGTCAATGCAAGCCGCGACAAACTCGGTCCAATTGATTGCGTCCTTGTCTTGACTCAGGTTCATGGCTGCAGCTGCACGGCTAGCCTCAGCCTCATCAACCCCATGTTTCATTAGCGTAGTCTTCAATCCATCTGTCGGCAGCGAACCATTGCCATGAACATCAAACTCGTTGAACAATTGCTTGAAGGTGGGCATCTGGTTAGGCGGCCAATCTTGAGCAATTTTCATTGCTATGTTCTTGTACAGGACCGATCGGCAATGAACCGAAGCCAGCCGCTTGATCAGCCTCTGGCGATTTGACTCGTTTAAGCTGCCAGTCTGTTTTGGAGCAGACGCATCTTTCAAGAATTTGCTCGCCAAGCACTGGGATGCAGAAGGGCGCCGCTGCCTCTCCTGCAGCAGCATGCCTTCAAGTAATTCCTTGACATCCCTGGAGCTACCAGACACATACTGCCATGCAGGCCGCGGCTTCTGCCGCCAGAACTTGACAACATCGTCAAAGTTGCCCTCGAACTTCACTCGAAAAGGCATTTCCCCACAAAGGAGCTCAAAAAACACACAACCGCAGCTGAACACATCAGCCTCCGGCGTGATTTCGCCAGACCAAACCTCTGGAGCCATTGTCATGGGCGTACCCATTGGACGATTGCCGCGATAGTCACCAGGCTTGAAGTGCATGGCAATCCCGAGGTCTATGACAACCACGTGTGGCTTGGAGTTGAAGGTTGCGGACTTGGCATCTTTGGCATCGCCCTTCCCGAAGAAGGCCGCTGTCTTCTGGCTGGGCATGAGCATGATGTTCTGCGACTTCACATCTAAGTGGATGATTCCCCGAACATGGATGTGGCAAATAGCTTGCATCAGCTGTTGCATGGCTTCAGCAATCCATGGCATGGGGATTTCCTGCCGAGTCTTTTTCGCAGATGAAATGTGTCCATGCAGCTCCCCTCCAGGGCAAAAGTCGGTCACCAGGTACACGTCGTCCTTTGTGCTGTACACCTCATAGAGCTTCAAGATGTGAGGGTGGTCGAGGTTCGTCAGGTTCTCGATTTCTTTCTTCATTGCCTGCATATCCCCATGGAGCTTCTCTTTGGAGATCTCCTTTATGGCCCTGACCTGTTTGGAGTGCTTGTCGCTCGCCAGGTACACGAAGCCGTAGGTGCCGTGGCCGAGTTCTTTGCCTTTGGCATACTTCTGCCACGGCTCTCCCTCCTTAAAAGAATCAATGGAGAATCGAGGAATCGCTTGAACTGAGATTTCCTGCTGCAGCTGCAGCAGCTCCCAGAAGACTTTCTTGAACTCATCCAGGCCCAGGCCCGATTCGCTTCGGGCAGACTGCATCAAATGAACTTGGGAACCCACCAACCCCAGCAGTCCGTCCAAGTAGGCTCCAAGGTGCGGAACTTGCTCCGCAGGAATTGGGCGGTCCTTGGCCCTCGCAGCACTGACAAAGATTTGCTCTGCAACTGGCTCCACTTGCTCCTGCTGCACAATGCCCTGTGCTGTCGCCACCTGCTGGGCATTGGGGATAGTCCTTGACCGAACTTTCCGGCGCTGGTCAGACCGACTGATGAAAGCGTTTGGCTTGACATTGAGGCAAATGCCACCGGACTCATTATCCACATCGGTGATGATAGCTGGCATCCAGCACTGGTTGTGATCACTCCAATAGTCCAGTTGTTGACCCTGCACGAGCTCCGATGGATCTATCGGTTTCCTGGCAGGTGGAGCAGGTGGAGCAGGAGCCTCGGGCCGGAACTGTGGCAGTTGGTATGCAAAAGCGGCATGCCCTGGAGAAGAACTGCGTTTGGGCGGCGCTGATGCCTGACCCTGAAGCCCGTATAATCTGCGCATGTCTGGCACCGGGGTGGCGGGGCGGCTGGGCCCCCCCTGAGGGTAGCCGGACACAGGGGTGGGCATGTGCAAATGCTGCATCGTTACAGCCTGCAGTTGCCAACACACCAGAGTTTTGCAGAAGCTGTGAAACACTGCCGGGGCTACTTCAAATCACTTGGACCCAATGCCGGCGGAGCACAGGAGCCTCCAAAAGCGCACTCGAACTCAGCACGTGTCATGTGCAAACCACTGATTGCTGTCTTCGCGCGACGTCGCCCACCCTTTTTTGTCGAGTTCTTGCTGAGCCAGTTCTTGGTCACCAGCCTAGTTTGCACGATTTTGCACCACACTACTCGCATCAAGCTTCGTGCTGAGTGCTGACTGCAGAAGAGCCACTTGCGAAGCCAGGCCGGTTTCGGACTGCGACGAACCAAAGCTGTGGCGGCCCTGGCCCTGGTCTTTAAGCGACGCCTTGGAAACTCTACAAAGCACGAGGCTGTCTCTGCAGTCACGGATTAAGTGCTTCTCCTTCTCCGGCATAATCGCGTCCGGACAGGTTTGTCGACATGCAAAAAACAATCATGCAACATCTCGTTGTGGAGCCCTTCTGCACTTTCGGCCAAGGCGCCGTTTGTCTTTGCTTGCGGTGAGCTTACTCCTGCGCTCTCTACGGGAGTCTGCTCGGAACTTCGCCTTCGCTCAGGAAACAAATTCGATGAATGCTCGGATAATGGAGACACGGTGACTACGACAGCATGACACGCATGACTTGCAGCACAGCTCCGAACTGCTCGCCTTGGACTTCTCTGAGAGCCGCTGCCAGCCATCCCGCCCGGATCCGCCACTGGCTAGAAATAGCGCATAGCCACCGAAGCGTAATGCCGCCGCCTTGACGCCCGTGGCCAAACGACACACTCTCTCCTTCTGAGCTGCTGCAGAACGGCGCGACATGCCGGGCTGCTGCTACTGCTACTACTGCTACGGCTGCTTTTACTGCCACTGCTCTTACGAACACGACGACGACTTCTACTACTGCTGCGACGCCGACGACGTCGATTATTCTACCACCACCACAATCACAACCACCATCACCATGACTACTACTACTGCTGCTGCTGCTGCTGCTACTGCTACTACTACTAGAACTACTACTACGACGACGACGACGACGACAACAACAACAACAACAACAACTACTACTACTACTACTGCTACTACTACTACTGGTGCTACTACTACTACTGCTACTACTGCTACTACTGCTACTGCTACTACTACTACTACTACTACTACTACTACTACTACTACTACTACTACTACTACTACTGTTACTACTGCTACTACTGCTACTACCTACTACCTACTATCTGCTATCTACTATCTACCATCGACTATCGACTATCCACCATCCACCATCGACCATCGACTGTCCACTACTCCTACTCCTATATTCCTATACAGCATCAATTTTGGGTGCCAGAGTCCAGCCCAAACAACAACTGTTCGGGGGCTTAGCCAAGAGCCACGCCGTCCCTTCTCGCACTGTGGCTTGCTGACAAATCTTACGGAAGGTATGCATCGTCTCACGAACTGCTGTTTGCTGGACTATCGACTCCAAAGTTCATGCTGCGGCAGGAAGAAAATTCGTCGTACTCCTGCACGTGACTCTTGAACACCTACCAGAATTCTATTCCCGTAATTAATTCCTCGGCTAGCCAGGCCACGTAAAATGCACTTGCTAGTACTCTGCGACCTCTGCATGACGGTACGTAAAGCCAACTGCGACGAAACTTTATTCCTGCCGATGCTCTCAGAAAGGCGTTCCAAACATAAAAACCTGCCACACCGACACAGCATAGCTCCGAGCTAGATCGTCTTGTTCAAGTCACGCAGCAACATATCAAACAATTTTGGTGAACAAAAACGTCACTGTTCGGGAGGCCAAAAAGTCTTGACTTACTGGACCTTTCTTATCTTAAGACGTTTTGCGGAGTAGCGGAGTACCGAAAAGTGCGATTTACGTGGCCTGGCCAGCGGAGTTTTCTGAAATTTTAGAACAGTAGCCGTTGGTCCTGTTTGATAGGATGGGAATGGGGGCCTGTGTTCGACGAAAGGAGTAGGTCAAACTTTCGTCCTACCGCAGCCCCTATGATCCTATACTCCTATACTCCTACTCCTGCGGCTGTTGCTGCTGCTATTGCTGCTGCTACTGCTACAGCTCCTGCTGCGGCTACTACCACCACTACCACTACCACTACCACTACCACTACCACTACCACTACCACTACCACTACCACTACCACTACCACTACCACTACCACTACCACTACCACTACCACTACCACTTCCACTTCCACTTCCACTTCCACTTCCACTTCCACTTCCACTTCCACTTCCACTTCCACTTCCACTTCCACTTCCACTTCCACTTCCACTTCCACTTCCACTTCCACTTCCACTTCCACTTCCACTTCCACTTCCACTTCCACTACGAGTACCGCTACCACTGCCACTAGCACTACCTTCGCATGCGCTTCAGCCTGCTTCTTTGGTACATTTCTCGATTTGCGCACCATAGCTGCAGACATGAGCAACATCTACTGGTACTACTGTACTACTACTCCTGCTACTACTACCACTTCTACTTCTACTTCTACTTCTACTTCCACTTCCACTTCTACTTCTACTACTACTACTACTACTAGTACTACCACTACTACTACCACCACTCCTCCTACTACTGCTTACTACTCCTACTCCTACTCCCACGCCTACGCCTACTACTACTGCTACTACTACCACCACTTCTACTTCTGCTTACTACTCCTACTCCTACTCCTACGCCTACTACTACTACTGCTACTACTACTACAGCTACTACTGCTACTGCTGCTACTACTGCTACTGCTGCTACTGCTACTGCTACTACTACTACTACTACTACTTCTTCTTCTTCCAGACGTGGCGAAGAAATCTCGAACCTCGCTTGGCGAACCCGTGTGGATTGACAGAGTCACCACCCCGGCGCGCTATGCGCGAGATCTGCTTTTGAGATCTCTCAAAAGGAAGAGCAGCATCCCCCGGCTCGAATGCCATAGTTGGCAGGGATACTTACTCTTGGCTGCTCTATCCTGCTGTGCTCAGTGTGTAGTTTCCTAAGGCTCTGTACAAGGAGTGCAGCGAACACAGGGTTAGAGGCGTACCTTAGGGTGTTCAGCAGGCCGCAGCAGGGAAGCTCAGATGCGGGGGCCATCACGACACCGAATGTAAAGGAACACATAACTTTGTTGAAGGAAGAGGCTGTATTGGGCAGTGGTGGGCACACAAGCTGACTGGTTATCATCCGTGAGGAAGGTCTCAGGGCCTGTGGGTGAGTACAGCATGCTTCTGTAGTGTCCTTCGGTGCTTCTCGGCCCTATGTGCAAAATTGCAGCGGCTCGCTGATATAGCTCATAGCTGTGCTGCAGTGCATTCCCGGCTGTCAGGTCGGCAGGGTAACATGGTACTTGGAGGTTTAGCTCAGGCTCTATGGGCAAGGCAGATTTGGTGCTATGGGCTTGGCCTAAGTTAAACCTATTGACCTGCAGACACAGCACTGCTGGCAGCTTCACTAGGCCCCGGCTGTCCCTCCTGAGAGAGTGACCAAGTGTTTAGGATTGCCTGCAGGCTGACGCGGGCAGCAGAGTTAAGCGGCTGTCCTTCGAGCGGTTCTTGCAGGATGAGTGGCCAGGTGTCACCCGACTCCACACACCTGACAGGTTGCTCTTCCATCTGAAGTCTGGATTCCCAAGCACCAACCGCTGCTAGGCCAAGGTGGGGTTTCAAGAAGGTAAGGTATTCACCCACATCATGCTGCCTAGCAGGACTACTCCAACCGCTATGTAGGGCTCGCCAGGCAAGGTGTTGCCACGGCGTTTCCGGGCGGGCCTGCCGCTGCAGCCAGCTCCATATGAATCGCATGGAGGCTCCAAGAAGCTCACAATTCCTGATACCTTGGCAGGGCAATGAAAAGTGCGTCCAAAGGATGGCCAATAGGCTGGCATTGCTATAGCAGAAGTTGGAGGGATTGGGCAAATTAAGACGACGGACGGATCGTAGATCATCTGCTGGAGCGCCACTTCCAGAGCACTGTGGCCCATCTTCTCTCCCCGGAGTGGGAAGACGCACGTGCGGAAGAGGCCGCTGTGTGCCAGCCTTGCAACGTGGTTCCAGGCCAGTTGGGCTTCCGGTGTCCTGAAGCCCAGCTGCAGCATCATCGGCAAGACCTCTCCTTTGTGCTCCTTGACCAGCTTCCGGGTGGAGTGGAACCTCATGATCACCAAGGGGAGGAGCACCAGGCGCTGGAGGTCCTGGAGGATGCGTAGTCCTTGCGCACCTGTAAGGTTTTCTGGCTCGCGTTCCATTTCAGGTCGGGAATGTTGTTGTTCTCGTCGAAGATCATCATGTCGCGGGCCTCCCTCAGGCTGTCCTCGGACTCTTGGCAGGCATAGAGCCTCGTCAGGAGCACATTAAGGATGTGCTGGAACATCACAGCTCGGAGGGGCAACGTGATTGTCTCCGGCTGCTCGGCTTTGGCCTTCTTCCAGACCTGCGTCACCTGGAACAAGTCCGGGACTATGGTCAGGAACAAGTCCGGGACTATGGTCAGGAACAAGTCCGGGACTATGGTCAGCATGCCCTGGGCCTGGAGGAAGAGCACGAAGCCAGACTCGCAGCGATCGATGCTCGTTTGATCGCTGTGCCTCAGGAGGAGGCGAGCCATCATCCCGATCAGCTCACGAAGCTGTCGGTTGGACAGAGCCTGGATGCCCTGCTCCTGGAACCAGTCGTCCTCCTCCGTCTTGTCCTTCTCCTTCTCCGTGCCCTTGTTGTCCTCCTGCTGGTAGCCCCCTCCAGAGCCCCGTTTGTTGTCTCCGCGGTGCCATTTCGCGAGGTGGCCCTTGCCCGGGCGCGGGCCCTCCCGTTGCTGGGAGCTGCCGCGCTTTCCGTCCCTCTGTGGCATTCTCAAGCATGGCTTGCATCAGTCCCGCTTGCTCCTCCGCGTTGGCCAGCTCCTTCCGCTGAGGCTCCGAGAGGTTCAGGTCCGTCATCAGCGTGATCCGCCTGTGGCAGGGTGAGGGCAAGGGTATGCAAGAGCCCTGTGCGGCACAACGTGGTGCAGGCAAGTGCATGCCGGAGTTTGCTGGTGTGATTGGCCTTGTAGGCCGTATGGCAGAACGTGCAGGGGTGCCCGATGGCCGTGGAGCGATCTGTGAGCCACCGCTGCACCCGGTCATGTAGCTTACTACTACGACTACTGCTACTACTACTACCACTACCACCACTACTACTACTACTACTACTACTACTACGACTCCTACACTTACTACGACTACGACTACTGCTACTACTACTACTACTACTGCTGCTACGGCTGCTGCGACTGCTACTGCTACTGCGACTCCTACTCCTGCTCCTTCTCCTACTGCTACTGCGACGACGACTACTACTACCACTACTGCTGCTGCGGCTTGCCAACTCGAAACCTCAGCCCTGACAGCTACTACGACTGCTACTACTCATTGCTGGGGATGAAAAGAAAGGCGAGTGAAGCAATAAATCAATGTGTGGCACAATTGGACACTGGACCTGCCGGTCATCATCAATTCCTGACGGGACTAGACTGGCGTCATTGGGTGCCTTCTGGGAGAATGCTGGTGGCTCTCGGCCCCCACTGCACAGTGGCCGTACTCCAGCTGCCGGCACTTTCAGCAGACCTGACTTCAAAAACGGAACAGGATATGAGATCAAGTTTCCATCGCTCGGATAAGGCCTCCAGCAACAGCCTCACAGTTGCAACGCAAAGTTAAAAACACATGTCCGACAGCTTTGCAAGTACGCTTGCAAGTACGCCTCGTGATTACATGGCGCGCCTCAGCACCAGGCTCTCTTTCTCCCGCGTCTGGCCCATCGTCGTCCGGCTCCACAGGGCTTGTAGCCAATTTCCGCTTTCTGATTGCAACCACGACCTCCACAAGACTCACAATACTGAAACGAGCACCTGCTCTGTGCCTACGACGCACTTTCCTTGCCAGACCCATGCCCGTGCCACAAAACCAAGGAAGTGCACCACCATTTGTCTTGTCCTGCCTCATCTTGAGCAGTTGCAGTTTCCCTCACTTCCGCTCTGATCCACTTACCCTTCGGCTCGCTCCAAATACGACACTCTTCGTGTGGTGCCAATCCACTCCCTTGCCAACCAGCCAACTCCTTAGCATGTCGGGACCGTCGGGAGCTCATGCTTCCACGGGGTGTCACTGATCAGCACGGACAAGGACACTCGAGGCGCTCCACGGCCACCTCTATCACCGAGCAAATTTCCTGTGCAAAGGCTTTGTCCTCGGGCTTCTCGACTCTAGTGGTCCAGGTCATGTAGCATGCCAGAGCCCGGTCTGTTTGCAGCCCAAGGTCTCCACTCTGCTCTCGTTCCGGCTTCGGCCCAGACGCCATACTGACCATTGCTAGAACTAAGCAACCAAGTGAATTTACGCGAAACATGTGGGCAATCGTTCCTGTGCATCCCAAGCCAAGTTGCAGAGTGTTCCCCGAAAGCCTCCATGTCCCGGGCCCCAGCACTAAACCGCTTTGGCCACAGTTGCTGATTGTGCAATCGGAGATGTCAGCCTCAAGCCCGGACAGCACCGGCAGACCACAACCGCTTGAAGCTCGATCACGTGCCTGTCCATGTCTTAGAAGAAGCCCGTTGCCGACCTGCACTTCGCTTTCTAGCTCCACAACAACTCAGCGAGCAGTTGCCTGTCGCAGCCTCAACTGTCTTGCACACCGAGCCGCGCAATCTCGGATGGTGCAAGCCGCCAGCACGAGTTGTGCAAAAGCTCTGCCTTCCACACCGCTTCCAGCAGCGCCCTGAACACAGTCCCGCCTTTTTCAACGCCAACCGAGCAACTGCGTCACGAAGCAAAGCCGAGCTTTGCAAACTCTATTCCTAGCCAAGCTGCAAAGACATGTGTTCTGACCAGCTTAGCTGATGCACTCCTGGCCAGCTTCACGGAACCGTTCACGAAGCAGTCATAGAGCTCACAAGCTGTTCCTTCGGAGACCTGCAGAGAACTTTAGGCCATGCGGGTCATGCATTGCGCAGCGTGTGGACACTTCGGAGCCTCCAAAGCAGGTCCACCAGAACTCTCCAGCCTCACCCTGCGAAGGATCAAAGGGTCGGGTCCCGAAGCCGAAGCCGGTCTTGAGAGAGGCGACGGAGCTGTGACAATGCAGCAGCGCAGTGCCGGAGGCAGTGGCAACCTGAAAGAAACGGCACCCCCGGCATTTGCTCGATGCACAACAACGGAAGTGCCTCGGAGCAGCTTGAATCACGAATGGTGTGGCCACCACCTCTCCACTGCCAGCGGCACAGGGGTGCATAGACGAGCGTATACTACGCTGCCTTCTTCTGCCTTTGTGGTTTTTTCGACTCGATGTTTACATGCTGCAGTTTCAGGGGGCTGTCTGGAGTTTGCAATGTTCGAGTTGTGTCGATATTTGCAAGCTGTCCTGCCCTTTGGAGTCCGCATGTGTTCCTGCATTTTGAAGCTCATTCCACGCAGGTTGAAACCGACCTTTTAAACATCTCGGACTTCGGACTTGAGTTTCGGACTTTGTGGGGGGCGGGGAGTGAGGATTGCGGCGGCGGAAACGTATGTCCTCTCTCTACGGTCAGGGTTCATCTGGCTTTCAGAAGCCTGGGCCCTCTTCTCGGCAGTTCTCGAAGCATTGGGTTTAGCGAACAATTCCGGTGTTCCTTCAGGTTCTTCCGGCCAGCATGGACTAGCTTGATGATGTGCCGCTGTTGATGATGGCGAGATGACGATGATCCAGTCGAGCGCACACCAGGCCTAGAGCTCTGCAGAGCTGGTAGACTAAAAAGCCGCTGAAAGCCGCTGTTTGAGCCTCTGTTCAGCCAAGAACCCCACGACGCGCCCACTCACACAGGGCTGGACCTTCTCGACATGCCCCCCGACTCTGACTATCGTCAACACATCGCCTCCGTACTGCGTGCAAAAACGCGCCGCCCCACGAGCTGTGTCTCAAGTCCAGCTTTCTCCGGGCTTCTGGATGCTTCTAGTAGGTTCCACGCGGTCAGGTTTGAAGGCAAATATGCGCAAAGAACTACCGGATCTCGGTTGTAGCAATGGCCCAGTTGCTCCCTTTCGCGCCTCTCTCTGGCCTTCGCCACCGTCGCCTGACACAAGTAGACCTTGCGCAGTCCGTTGAGCTTCAGCAATCTGCTCGGTAAGTTGCCTTAGACGGGCTGACGACAGATCCGCGGTGGTCCACGCAATCCAGCAGAGTGCTGAGCAGAGACGTTCCCAAGTGCTGTGGCGACAAGCCTCCGTCGCAGTCGGGTTCTGACCCTCTAAAACCGCAGTGAAGCAGACTAAGCAGACTGGCCATGTGAGCCTCTGCTGCAACGCAAAGGCACTTCACGCAGCGGCAACCACGTTGTGTAAGCAGCAGCTGCACCACTGCGGCACTGAAAGCCCGCCACAAACCCGAGCCATCATTGCTTGAATGCCACCACGAAGTATAAGTATTAAACCATTGCCGCTTGCCACTGCCAATGACGTTCAGAAATCTGCCGATTTCTTGAAACATGCAGCCCGGACAAAAGAACACACACAAAAAGCCCCGCCCGGTTGCCTTCTGGAATTCGTTTGCTGGATTTTGCACTCTGGCATGTCCTGTCAAACTAAGTGGCCGAAGGGGAGTGCATCTGCCATCGCCAGGCCTTCCGTGAAGGCCAGGCCGGGGCTTCCTTAGCCGCCGGCGTCTTCGCAAGTCTCTCTCGGATTTTCTTTGGCCGCTCTGTGCCGCAAAAGTACCGTGACTGCCTTCTCTCCGATCCTGAGCTTTCCCAGTCACGCAGGTGATCGGGCTATCTGGTGCTTTCCGAGCAGCTTTCCGCAGGACTCCTGGGATGTGCACAGCTTGCGCTTGCAGCTGGTATGTGTTGTAGCCGGCGGAGCATTGTACTCTGAACCGAAACGACTGAAGATGTGTCACACTTTGCAGAAATCGGCCAGACGCGTGCAGAACAATTCAAAACTTAGTGTCAAAACTGAGTGTCAAAACTTAGTGTCACTCAATGCTGCTCGACCTTCAGCTACCACTTTTGACCGGTCTGTGCAGTTGAGCTGTGCTTTGACAGACCAAGAGAAGTCGGCGAGTCCAGTGTGTGGGGCATAGGTGCTTAGGATGCTCGGAGTCTTCTCTGCAACACCAGCTTCCTGCATCTGCAGCACCTTCGAGTCGAACCAGCCACACCGTTGTGCTTTGTGGTGTTGCCGGCTCCGGTGAAGTTGATGTTCGCCCCGTGGCCTCGTAGTCTGGCCTGCTGCAGGCCATCCCTCCTGGCCCAACCTGTGAGCTCACGACTTGTTTCTGGCCCTCCGAGCTCGAACGACTCCTCGCCAAGCAGAAATTGTCTGCAATAACCTCGGCCAGGAAACTTGGTGAGGATTGATGATGATTGATGTCGGCTTTGATGCTGGATTTGATTTTCACTTCAACGTTTTGCCTGGCCCCTCACTCGGTGTCTCGACGGGGGGCCGAGAGGTACGACTTGGGGGTCGAGGGCTCTTGAAAGCTCGGCCATTTCAGGCCTCAGCCGAGCTTCCCCGCCCTGCGCTTCCGTTTCGGGAGCGATGCAAGCAATGTAAGAACGATTCAGATATCCAACCTCAGACGCAGCGCCAAAGGAGGATGGGGCAGCGGACAGGAAAACGTTTTCAGGATACGTCCGATGTCAACTCCCCTGCCAACATTCGGTGCTTACGTTCAGCATCTTGCACGTACCAGGTAAGGTCAGCGATTCTGATGATTAAGGAACGACGACTTGCGTTTGCTTGGGCATCGCAACCTTTCAACTGTAACGTTTAAACGAGCAGAGAGGGTGAACACATTGTTCATGCGGGGGGACCGGCGAGAACTGCAACGGCTGAAGACTGGCCGAGGTAAACCCCTCATCGCACGTAAAATAAGCGAGTCACAGCAGAAGCTTTGCATGGTTCTCTTAGAAAACCGTTCAAAACAAAGGCCCGCACAGAATGGTTGGAATTGAAGCTTTTGTCTTTGGCTTGCTTTCGCGGACTCCTTGCCGGGTTTCGTCGACATGTATTGGGCTGCCAGCCTTCGACTGTAGAGCCGATGGCCGCCTTTCAGTTTGATGCCCACAGGTCTGACAAGTGCAAGATGCATCTCGCCAAGCACGCAAGGCAAGCTGCAGCACTCTGCGGCGTGCTGGAAGGTGTCCCACCACAAATCGATCGACCACACTACGTCTTCGCTTGTACATTCTGTCACTTTGCACAGAGGCTGCGTCTGTGAGGGTGACAAGCACGGTGTCGTTTGAACTTCCCAGCCAGCAGCGAGTTGCCTGCCGTGACAATTGGCAATGTAATTAAGTCTGAAATGGAAACCACCATGACCCTTTGCAAAGAACCTGCAAACAAACGACCCGCCCAAGATTGCCTGGAGCAAACATCGTCGCCTCAGCGTGTCAGTTCGAAGCACTCCGGCCATGCCATGAGATCACCCGTTGAAATCTCTTGACCAAGGTCTTAATTCCAAGCAGCTGTGCACTCAGCACTGCAGCACAAAAAAGATGCAGCCCATGGCGAATGCGAAATGTCGCAGTCTCGCTCGACCTTGCCCAGACCTTATACGAAAGCGGTTCCCTTACGTCCAATTATCCATGCCACGGCCCGAGGTGCGTGACTCAGCCAAGCAGCAGAGAAGGCCAAGGCCAAGGGCCACCGTCTTTCCAGGTCTTGGCGGATTGCTCTCACTCTGGCTACTCTCTGGCTCTTGTGGCTCGCACTGTGAAGCGCACTGGGTTGTGGCCGCTTCCCACCAACCCTAGCTTTATCGGTTCAATGGATCAGCTACAAAAAGCCAATCCAACAAAAGTCGATATAGGCGCTGCCACACACACCATGCTGCCAAAGAGCGATAGGTAATTGCCTGGCATTGCGCATACTTCCTGTCCTCCGCCCAATGTCGCCAAATGACGAGGCAAGCATTTCCTTGGTGAGGAAGCGAACAGGTCCGGTGAAGCGCGTTCTGCACATGTCGACCATCTGAGTAAGTAATCCCATGTCGTTTGGTTCTTGTACAAACGAACCGGCAGAGAAACTGTTTGCACGGTTCATGGAACTGCTCGCGAATTGACATTCGCACCCCGTCCCTCCTTGGGTTGGAAACCTTGCATACCGGATGCAACATGCCAACAGATCTGTTCCATGCAATCAATCAATGCGTAGCTTGCCCACAGCAGGCCCACACCCACTCATGGACAGCAACTCATCCAAGTCTGGATAACATCAAACAGGCTTCATATACATACTGTCTATACCACTCCAAAAGCGACATCCTGTCGAGTGGCGCAGCAGCAGACGACAGCGGCAAACACCAGCGGAGGCTGACCTTGCGGGAATGGCAACATCAAGACAAAAGACGCTAGTGACCGAACACTTTCGCAGCAAGGCCCTTCGCACTCGTCCAGAATACTACTCTTCGTGTCTTTGTGCTCTCCGACCATCGCCAGCAGCACCAGAATGCAAACCCCCAAAAACAAAGATGACCGTGTAGGAGAAGGGGCAAGGAAGCTCAAACTCGATGCTCCCGAACGTCCACAATGTGTCTACACTGAGTCTACACCCAATGCCCGACAAATGATATGCTGCCTCGTTGATCCATTTGTGGTGTGGCCGCCGGCCTTGGCGAACGCTGAAAGCAGATGCCATCAACCCTATGGCCCCGTGGTTACCACACGCTCCCACAACCTCACTCGCAATCGGGGATCGAAGCCATCGCCAAAGCCGAGGTTCGAGCTGACTATTGAGACTGTCGATTATCAATTATCCATAAAAGCTCAACAACAGACCTACGACGAGCCTACGAGATACAACTATCGAGGAAGCTCGAATGCTATGTACAGTATCAGAATGCGCTGCATACAGAAGCCAAAGCCGGAAAGCCAATATCATGCGAGTGAGAAAAATGCAGACACAGAGAGAGAGAGAGAGAGAGAGACACAAAGAGGGCGCAAGAAGAGAAAGCAAGCAATGGGGACCCTGTTTCCCTCGCCGACAAACCAAGACCAGTGTCGACAAAAAAAGAGCTAATGGCCCCGACATGCTCCCGAAGATGCTTGCGTCGCATCTCGAGAATACGGCTCTGTGAAAACTCTTAAGAGGAGCTACCTGGTACCAGTCCCAGCAGTAGAGCGCTGCAAGTTCTGATCTGACTGGCACCGCAGAAGTCTGAAGCTTTCACCGAGCCCGTGGCCGGCGGCCTCCACTTGGCATCTGCACCCCACGCAGTATCCTTGGCAGGACATTTTGTTGAGATGGCGGGCTGCCGGTCAAACCTGCGAAAGCAACGAAGGAAGCAAACAAATACAGTAAATAAAACACATGGGCCCTGACGACAGGCGCAACATGCCACAACACTTTCCGTGCTGGTGTCCAGTACAAATTTTTCAACACGCAAGATTCGAGAGGCACTGCAATCGTATATCATGAGATTGAAGCGTAACTAGACTAGGTCGTCTGCTTCAGGCGTACAGACGCGAAAATTCCAATTGCCAATTCCCGTTGCTAAGTCGCTGGGTTCGAGATGGACTGGTGGGAAAGCCGGTGCAACTGCTCTTCCACATGCGGTTGCAGTGAGGCGTCGTGAGCCCCCTCGCCCTTGTTCTGTTGCCAGGCCAGCGCAGGCAGCAGCAATGCGCACTCCGGCTCGGCTGAGGATGAAAACATTCCTTGCGACAATTCCTTGTCTGTCTGCAGCTGGTCCTGGAACTCATAGGCTTGCACGGCTCGTGGAGCATCACTTGAAACACCCTTACCCGGAACTTGTGAACGTAGTCCGGCATTCCGCGAATCCCATATGCTCCTCTGCACTTGGCTGGCTGGGGGCAAGAAATGCGACCCTTCCATCACGGCCTCTTGCTGAAGCGCCGCTAAATGCATGCGACATTGACGCACATGCAGCTGCAACCTGGCACTCTGCTCCTGATTTTCGGCACACTCTTTCTTGAAGGCTTTGCAATCAACCACCAGTTGTTCGTTCTTCTCCTGTGCATTCCTGATTTGGGCCTTCAGCTGCTGCATTGCCAGCCGCATGGAGTCAACCTCCTCACGAGCAGACAGCCAGCTTGCAGTGAGTTCTTCGCATTCTGACTGGCGGCTTTCTGACTCCGCTTGCAGCTGCTGGTGGCGACATTTGATCTCACCCATGGTGTTCTCAAAGGCTGCATTGGCTTCTCTGAGGCAGTTGACTTCTTCACATAAAGTTGCTTCCCGACCAAAAGCATCTGCTTGCGACTCGTTTGCTACAAGCAAGCGTTGTCGCAGCAAATCTGTTTCCCTGTACTCTGAGAGCCAGTGCATCTCTGCTTCTTCTGTCCGCACACTTTCCAACTGCAAGTTCTGTTCTTGCAAGGAAGAACACCAAGATTGCAGAGCCTCATTTTGCGACTCCAATGCTCTCTGCCGGATTTGAGCGCTATCTTGTTCCAGTCGCATGTGGCCAAGATCTTCCTCTTGCTCACACAATTGCTGCTCATGGCGAGAACTGGCTGCACGCGATGCTGCCAGCGCTTGTTTGCAAGTCGACTCCTCTCTCTCCAATCGCCACAGCTGCGATCTCACGAGGCGTCCTTGAGCATCGGCTTCTGCCTTCTCCCGCTCGATACTGCGAAATCTCTCAGCTTGGGACTCGAGCTTTTGTGTGTCCAGTTCCAGGCATCCAATGGTCTCTGTAGCACCCAACCATTTCGTATTGAGCTCCTCACATTCCAGACTCAGCACGCGCGACTCTGCTTGCAGGTGTTGGTGCTTGGTTCTGCTCTTTGCGGTGGCATCTTCGCACATCTCCAACTTGTGATAGAGTTGCACCTCTGCTACCTCTAGCGAGCGGTGCTGCTCCCAGAGTTGTCCCTTCTGCGTTGCATGCGATTCAGCTTGCAGGAGGGCGGCTCGGGCCTCGGCCGCTTCGGCCAAGCAGCGAGCCTCATGATGGCGTTTTGCCCCAGCTTCCTCCAAAACCTGTTGCTTCACATTACGTAACTCTGCCTGCTCTACCTCTACCTGCTCCTCCAACTCGCGAATGCGCACTTCCCGCTGACAAATGGCTTCTCGAAGACCCGAAACTTGTGAATGCAATGCAGAATTCTGCGATTCCCATGCGCTCCGCTGCAGTCGCCCTTCCGACTGCACAGCATGCAACTCCTGCATCTCTTCTGCAGCTTTGGCCGCACATTCCACCTGCACATCTTGGAGGGAGCGAACTTCATGACGGAATTGCACGTTAGCTTCCTCCGCCATCTGCTCCTGTTTGTGCAACTGGCCCTTCAACTCACGCACTCGCACATCCCGCTGGGCAGTGGATTCTTCGAGAACCGAAATCGTTGAATGCAACGCAGCATTCTGTGATTCCCATGCGCTGCGCTGCAGTCGCCCTTCCGACTGCACAGCACGCAACTCCTGCATCTGTTCTGCCGCTTTGCTCTCACATTCTGCCTGCACATCTTCTAAGCGGCAAACCTCATGACGGAACTGCGCATTAACTCCCCCCGCCATCTGCTCCTGTTTGTGCAACTGGCCCTGTAGCTCACGCACTCGCTCATCTCGTTGGGCAGTGGAGTCTTCAAGAACCGAAATCTTGGAATGCAACGCAGCATTCTGTGATTCCCATGCGCTCCGCTGCATCTGCCCTTCCGACTGCAGCACGCGCAACTCCAGTTTCTGCTCTGCAGCGGTGTCCCGACCCATGGCGCGGACCTCATCCAAGCAGCGAGCCTTGTGACGGAAATCAGCGCTAGTTTCCTCCAACATCTGTTTTTGCCTCTGCAACTGGTCTTGCAACTCACGGGCTTGCGCCTCTCGTTGAACAATTGCTTCTTGAAGACCCGAAACTTGTGAATGCAATGCAGAATTCTGCGATTCCCATGCGCTCCGCTGCAGTCGCCCTTCCGACTGCACAGCATGCAACTCCTGCATCTGTTCTGCAGCTTTGTTCGCACATTCCGCCTGCACATCTTCTAAGCAGCGAACCTCATGACGGAACTGTTCGTTAGCTTCCCCAGCCATCTGCTCCTGTTTGTGCAACTGGCCCTGTAGCTCACGCACTCGCACATCTCGTTGGGCAGTGGATTCTTCAAGAACTGAAATCGTTGAACGCAACGCAGCATTCTGTGACTCCCATGCGCTGCGCTGCAGTCGCCTTTCCGACTGCATGGCACGCAACTCCTGCATCTGTTCTGCCGCTTTGCTCTCACATTCTGCCTGCACATCTTCTAAGCGGCAAACCTCATGACGGAACTGCGCATTAACTTCCCCCGCCATCTGATCCTGTTTGTGCAACTGGCCCTGTAGCTCACGCACTCGCTCATCTCGTTGGGCAGTGGAGTCTTCAAGAACCGAAATCTTGGAATGCAACGCAGCATTCTGTGATTCCCATGCGCTCCGCTGCATCTGCCCTTCCGACTGCAGCACGCGCAACTCCAGTTTCTGCTCTGCAGCTGTGTCCCGACCCATGGCGCGGACCTCATCCAAGCAGCGAGCCTTGTGACGGAAATCAGCGCTAGTTTCCTCCAACATCTGTTTTTGCCTCTGCAACTGGTCTTGCAACTCACGGGCTTGCGCCTCTCGTTGAACAATTGCTTCTTGAAGACCCGAAACTTGTGAATGCAATGCAGAATTCTGCGATTCCCATGCGCTCCGCTGCAGTCGCCCTTCCGACTGCACAGCATGCAACTCCTGCATCTGTTCTGCAGCTTTGTTCGCACATTCCGCCTGCACGTCTTCTAAGCAGCGAACCTCATGACGGAACTGTTCGTTAGCTTCCTCCGCCATCTGCTCCTGTTTGCGCATCTGGCCCTGTAGCTCACGCACTCGCACATCTCGTTGGGCAGTGGAGTCTTCAAGAACCGAAATCTTGGAATGCAACGCAGCATTCTGTGATTCCCATGCGCTCCGCTGCATCTGCCCTTCCGACTGCAGCACGCGCAACTCCAGTTTCTGCTCTGCAGCTGTGTCCCGACCCATGGCGCGGACCTCATCCAAGCAGCGAGCCTCGTGACGGAATTGCGCATCAGCTTCGTCCAACATCCGCCTCTGTGTCTGCACCTGCTCCTCAACCGCACGGGCTTGCACGTTCCGTTGGGCCGTTGCTTCTTGAAGCCACGAGACTTGTGAGTGCAGCGCAGCATTCTGCGATTCCCATGCTCTTTGCTGCATTTGCTCTTCCGACTGCAGGAGACGCAACTCCTGCTTTTGTTTTGCAACTTCACTCGCACACTCGGCCCGTACATCTTCTAGGCAGTGAATCTCATGACGGAACATCTGCATCTCTTTCTTCAAGTGGTCCTGTAACTCAGAGTCTTGCACATCCTGTCGAGAATTTGCCCTTGCAATGCGTGCGTCTAATGCAACGTCGAAACCAGCATGTTCTTCAAAATGCTGCACATGCTGTAGCTGTGTCCTCTGTATTTCCAAAGCAGTCTTGGAGTTTTCGTGCAGAGGGCCTACTGTCGACGCCAGGTGCGACAGCCCGGAGCCGACTTCCGTGGTGCGGCTCGCCGACAGATTGCCATACGGGGCTTCAGCATCAGCCCGACGGTCGAACTTCGCCTGCCAGTCTTCGAGACAGCTGCATGTTGCAACGTATCATGGCATCACATTTCCAATGCCAATTCACATTGCAACATGTGATGGACAGCGTGTTCGCATGACCGTCTCGTCTGTGTTTAAAGTGCCAAGCTCAAAATGCGAGTTTCACTGACGAAACGGCCACCCCAAACGAACTAGTATCGAACCCCAACTGCGACCACCACGACAATAGCAAGAATCAGTACAACTCAATGCAATATACATGGAAGCCATTTCAACAGGGACACCGAAAGACCAAGCTTGCAAACACCACTCACAAAAGCCGCCGACAAAAAGGGACGATAATGTCCTACCCTACATAACTTGCACTGCAAAATTATCGTGATGCGGCTCGTCTGCTTCGTGTCGCAAGCAGCAACAAACGAGTCTCAGTTTCAAGCGGGGCTGTTTGCAGGTACAAATTTCTTCTGGTGGGTATGGTGGATCGCTTTCGGAGCGCGAGTGGCCGTTCCTAGGCCGCAGTCGTGACCAGTGACGTGGCGGCTGGCTGTGGGTTTGTCAGGCATCGTCTGCGTGACGATGAACCCACACCGGAACAGATGCGTGCAATATTATACTCATTTACAATGTAAAGACCCAAACCAAAAAATCCTAATCATGTCATGTTCACCAGCCGCCTGGGTCCGTAATTTGCAGCTGCACGGGGACCCGGACTTTGGCGTGCAGTCGTAGGAGGTGCGTGGAATAACAACATTGTTTTCTGAAAACGGATTAGTCGGGAGATATCGGAAGCAGCTGCGGTATAACATGACCAACATGTCAACTTTTTTTCGCGTGCTTTTTTACGACTGCAAGGGTTGAGGAGTTCCCGTTCCCAGCACAGACACTGGCTTGCTCCGCCGCAGTCCGCCACAGGGGAGAAGGAGCTCGTGCAGCTCAGGCCCCGGCCTGTCGCTGAGATCGGCAGGCAACTCGAGCAAGGAAGCAGCGTGGGCTCGTTGTTCCCCCACGCCAGACTTTTCCATGAGCCGGTTGGACAACGGATCAATCGGAAGCAGCTGCGTCGTGCCAGACGTCCCCGAGTGGGGAGCTGGGAAAGGCCGCAAGCGGCTACTAGCTGGCGAGCTCTAGAAAGCTCGCCCGTCCTTGCTTTCTGCAGGCTAGGGCTTGGCTGCTTGCGCTGCGGAGCCCCGCACCGAGGCCAGCAACGACACCCATTCACCCCGCTGGAACGATGCTGCACGGGACAAAAATTCGTCTCGCCATGTCTCGCCTTTGTGCCCCTCGGTGAGCTAGCTGTTCGTGCAAGGAGCATGCGAGGGGCAAGGAGGAAAACTGTTTCCACGCACGCGATGTGCGAGCGGCATCCCTATATAGTGGGCGGCCCATCGGAAATGCGGATGGAGCTCATGGCGGTAACTGCGGTTGCTCCGGCGGCTCCTGCGTACGCTTCGAGTTACGTTGACTGTGCTGCTGCTATGGCTAAATGATTATGTAACCATCTGGGACTATACACAACAGCACAGCCGCTTGCAAAGCTAATGGCCCGTCTGATGAAGCTATCGTGCCTGCCGACGCACGATCCTCCACCGTCACGTTCCGCTGCGCAGCGTGCGCTTCGCAGTCGGCCACGGCAACTTTTCGAGCTGCCATAGCTGCCCAACGAAGGAGCTTTTCGCCGCGGTCGCAACGGAATAGTCCACCTGACAGACTACGGACTACGGTAGCCGCTGCACGCGTCAGGGCCGCAACGGCAGGCGACTCTGGCTGGCGGGGGCCTCGTGTGGAGCAGGGTGTCCAGCGGCGGGCCGTGACTGGTTTCTGGTTGCAGTATGTTGCAGTGGCTGCTCCCAAACGCCCAATGCCGTGCTGGCGACGGCCTGCTGCACCGCCACGGACAACAAGCCCCACCAGCGCCTCGCCCTGCCGGTTGACGCCACTGCACGGAGTGCGGGCGGGGCCCGGTGAGGTTTCAACCGGACATAACCGGACAAGGTCTCGCACGAAAGAGCGCGCATGGTCGTTCCAGCGTCCGTCCACCTCCGAGCCCAACACGACGAGCTGCTGCGGCCCGCCGCTGGAGAGGGTGGGCTGAGCTTCCGTCGTTTTGCGACCCTGAGTGCGGCGCCGACCACCGCTGCACAAGGTTGCGGGTGTCCCGTGCGCATCAAGGGAAGCGTGGCGTCACAGCACAAGGCTCCGCCGTTGCGCGTCGCGCCGTACACAACTAGGTCGAGGCGGCGCTGGTCTGCGGCTTGACACGCCAGGCGCCGTGGTGTGGGCCAGACAGGACCGCAGAGTCTCCCAGACGCCCGCATCGTGCGTCTGCGCGTACCCTCGCGATTCGGAAGGAGCCCAGCTCCGATATGCCAGGGGGTCGGGGGGTTGGCTCGATTGCATAACCGCAGGTTTTGCCGAGGTTGGATGCGATGCCGCAATGGGCTGCGACAGCTCCAGTCGTCTTGTCGAAGGCCGCTCGTGCTCGCTCGGGCAATTCGTTTGGCCGTACTGGCGGTGCTCCGCACAAGCGAGTCGCAATCACAATGAACTGGTGTCCAGAATCGACAGTGGGCAACGATCTTGCCAAGGCAGCGGTTCGATGTTGTCGGGCGGCGCAGGCGCGA